GTGTGCAAATTGTGCATGACAACACATGATGTAACAAAACTACAGTCAATACAAATAACAAAAATGTGCATTGAATGTCAGTAAAGGTTTTGAAAGAAATGGTGTATAGCCATAAAAGGCTATATATGCAGATACTGTCCTGGCATTTGTACCTCAAGATTCAGCCACTGTTTGACATCTAGAGCGGGGCCAGTCATATCATCCAGAGAATACACAAGATGTGTCATCGTGGGTTTGGCTCTTCTGATCAAACCCACCACAGTCACCTATGTGAAGAGATTATGATGTACCTGTTTTTAATCTGAAAAAAGACAAGGTAACACTCATTTTTGTTCATAGCTTTGGACAGAAATTTTAGTCATTTGGATATCTGCTATATGAAAATTCATCCATAACCCACACTTTCTGTTTAATCAATTACTGTATCAATAATAGTGTTTTAATAGTGTATCAGTATGACATGGAGTAATGCAGTGGTACAGTTTTACCTAGCAATTTAATACTCTAATTCGAATAAGTTTTAGGTGCTGGACTTCAATTTTAACATACAGTTAACATAAAACTATACAGCTCTCGTGTGTTAAAAAAATCACTTATTGCAAGTTGTTCATTATTCTCATTTTTACGAAGGGTGTCTTCTGACTGTAGTAAAATGAATAGGAACAACATAGCTATTTACACTCACCAAGCACATTATTAAGAACACTATACTAATACTGGGTTGGGCCTTCCTTTGCTCTCAAAACAGCCTCAATTCTTCGAGGCATGGATTCCACAAGATGTTGGAAATATTCCTTTAAGATTCTGGTCCATGTTGACAGGATTGCATCATGCAATTCCTGCAGATTTTTCAGGTGCACTTTCAAGCTGTGAATCTCCCGTTCCACCACATCCCAAAGGCGTTCTACTGGATTCAGATTGGGAAGGCCACTAAAGAACACTGAACTCACTGTCATGTTCATGAAACCAGTTTTAGATGACTTTTGCTTTGTGACCTGGTGCATTATCATGCTGGAAGTAGCCATTAGTAGATGAGTAAATTGTGGGGCCATGAAGGATGCATATGGTCAGCAACAATACTCAAATAGGCTGTGGCATTCAAGTGATGACATTCCCCACACCATTACACCACCTCCACCAACCTGGACTGTTGACACAAGGTTGAGTCCATGGATTCTTACTGTAGGAGCCAAATTCTGACTCTACCATCTGTGTGGCTCAGCAGAAATCGAAATTCATCAGACCAGGCTACGTTTTTCCAGTCTTCAACTGTCCAGTTTTGGTGAGTCTGTGCCCACTGCAGCCTCAGCTTTCTGTTCTTGCCTGACAGAAGTGGAACCCGATGTGGTCTTCTGACGTAGCCCATCAGCCTCAAAATTTGACGTGTTGTGCATTCTGAGATGCTTTTCTTCTCACCACAATTGTACAGAGTGGTTATCTGAGTTACTGTAGCCTTTCTGTCAGCTCGAACCAGTCTGGCCATTCTCCGTTGACCTCTCTCATCAACAAGGCATTTATGCCGCAGAACTGCCACTCACTGGATGTTTTTTTCTTTTTTGCACCATTCTGAGTAAACTCTAGAGACTGTTGTGCTTGAAAATCCCAGGAGATCAGCAGTTATAGAACTACTCAAACCAGCCCATCTGGCACCATCAATCATGCCATGGTCAAAGTCACTGAGATCACATTTTTTCCCCGTTCTGATGGTTGATGTGAACATTACCTGAAGCACTGTACTGCTGTCACACGGTTGGCTGATTAGATAATTACATGAGTAGTTGTACAAGTGCTCCTAATAAAGTGCTCAGTGAGTGTATTTCTACTTCCATTTAACAGGTATTTTTTGGATTATTAGGTTGAATTCAGGTATATTAGGACTTTAGGTACATGTGATAATACACTATATGGCCAAAAGTTTGTGGACACCTGATCATCACACCCATATGTGGTTCTTCCTTGTAGCTTTACAATAGTGTATAATGGGGTGTGCTCAACATGAAACAGGACGTTAACCCTAATGGGTTGTTGAAATTTAATTTATTGGGGCCATGAATAAGTATGTTACAAATAATTAATTTTTGAAAGGTGTCATTGAGGATGAAAAGTATAGTCCTAAACTAATTCATCCCAAATGACCAAATCCATCCATCCATCTTCTGTACCACTCATCCTACACAGGGTCACGGGGAGCCTGGAGCCTGTTCCAGGGAACTCAGGGCACAAGGCAGGGGACACCCTGGACGGGGTGCCAACCCATCGCAGGGCACAATCACACACACTCACACACTCCGGACAATTTGGAGATGCCAATCAGCCTACAACGCATGTCTTTGGACTAAGGGAGGAAACCAGAATACCCAGAGGGGACCCCCGAAGCACGGGGAGAACATGTAAACTCCATGGAGGAGGAATTCGAACCCCCAACCCTGGAGGTGCGAGGCAACAGTGCTAACCACTAAGCATATTTTTCTTTCTCATATGGATAGTCAACAGCTTGAGGATTTCAATAATGTATTTTAATTCATTGCAAGAAAGCTTAGACGAGGTGGAAATTCAAACAATGTCCAAATATATTTGCATTCACTCTAATATTATTAGACTGACCTGGTTGAGCTCCATGTCTCTTATAAAGAAGGAGTCTCTGTGTTCTCTGGCTGACAGGAGCTGAGACACAGTGCATGGCAGTACACGCAGTATTCCTGCTGTCTGCGGACAAAAACTGTATGATTTAGATACAGCTTGGAACTAGTTTAGTCAGTTAATTCGTTAACATGCTGAATTCATTCACATTAACCCCAAAATGTGAACAAAAGTTGACAAAGTGAAGCTAATTGCTACATCAGTGAAGAAAAGTAGCCTCTAGGCCTAGCTTTAGGACACTAGCAGGAGAGTAATTAAGCTTACTTTTGGCTTTCTTTCATTTTTTGAAGATGAAAATCCTCCTGGAGAAGAGCTATACCCGTAACCTAAATGAAATTACATTAAAATTAAGGTTACTTTTTTAGTATTATGTCCTAAACACTCGAATGAACTCGGTAAGTAATGTATATGACACAGGCCTAACAGAAATCCCTTTAAAGCTACAGTATTGCATTTAGACAATATATAGACCAAATCTAACAAACCTTGGCTCTCCATAATGTATATTCACTGAAAAAAGCCCAAATAGCCAAATAAAGATAAATTATTTAGTTTGTAGTTGAAGGCCGACCAGTATAGCTAATTTCCTAGTGATGGTCGATTAATGAGCAATCGGTTCACCTTAAACGACTCTTTTGAGCGAACCGATTCGCAAGTTCGAATCAAAATGATTTTCTCCTCTTCTCAGGTATGTCCAAAACTCTAGTGGTGAAAGTGTGTATCTGCACATTTGATTGTTTATACAGTTCATACTTGACATTGCTTAAATGATAAAAACATGGCCAAAAAAGTGGCCTTTTTAAAAAAAAAAATTATTTGTATTTGTATAATTAAAAAAAAAAAATTTTTGTTTGTATTTGTATATGACCACCAGGGTCAACAGGAGGGCCCACAACATCATCACGGACAATACACATCCACAACAGTCTTTTCACACTTCTGCCATCTGGGAGACGCTACAGGAGTGTGAAATCAAGGACAGAAAGACTCACCAACAGTTTCTATCCACAAGCAATCAGACTCCTGAACAATACTTCAAACACTAATCACCTCACTCCTCATCACCCCTACTGACTGTTATCCTGTTGTCACACAATGCACAGAGCACCTTACTTACTTACCAACTCAGGGACTGTATATTTTTATATATTATATACATTATATTTTTTATGTATATTTTTCTTTTTCTCCTGCAAAGTAAGAATTTCATTGTATGGTCTAAACCGTTGTGTTTTCACCGTGCATATGACAATAAACCTCTTGAATAAACCACAGAGACAATGAAATGCAGTTAGCATCCAACCAGTAATGCAAGTTAAATGAGGTAATAAAGTTATGGTGCAATAAGTTCAGATAGCAGTGTACAGGTAAAGGTAAACAGTATGATGCATACCAGTAATGCAAATAATAAGAATAAATAAGAATTATGGTGCAGTAAGCTGAGATAAAGAGTATACAGGTAGAGGTAAACAGCATAATGCATGCAATATGATGCAGTAGATACTGTGGATAAAATGCAGATGTGCGAACAGCAATAATGTGCAAATAACAGTCTGATATAAATTTTGTAGTGACAGATAATTGCAGTAAAGTGCAAGTACTTGCAAATAATTGCAGATAATAACAGTAATGAACACTACTACATATTATGGTGTCTAATCCATTAGTACAGCTGAAGGGAAAAAGCTGTTCATGAGTCTTTTTGTGCGACAACGCAGACTTCTGTAGCGTTTTCCTGATGGGAGACGTACAAACAGTCCATGGTGCGGATGGGAGGTGTCCTTGATAATACCTCTCTCTCTCTCTGCAAGCAACGCTTTAGATAAATGTCGGAAATGCTGGGCAACTGTGTTCCAATGATGTGTTGTGCAGTTTAGCTTTATTTTTTATAAAGTGGGAATGTAACAGTCAGTGGAATCAGGCAACACACACATTACCTTAAATGCACTCATGATTATATGAAATCATGAATTATATGAAATAATGCAAACTGGTGATACAGTGGTACAGGAACTGCCGGATCAGTTCTGAGCTTGGGTTAATGTCTGTGAGGAGTTTCATGGTTTCAGGTTTCCTCTGCGTTCTCTAGGTGTGAATGAGTGTGTGTGGTGCCCTCGTGTCCCATCCCAGGGTGTTTTCCTGCCTCACATCTAGTGCTCCCGGGGTAGTCTCTGGATCCACTGATAACCTGACAACGATATAGCAGTTGTTTTCCTTCAGCTGCTCCCGTTAGGGTTCGTTGACCTACATATTTGATTTGGCAAAGTTTTTTATGCTGGATGCCCTTCCCCTCTTTTTTTATCCAGGCTTAAGACCAGCACTGAGAGTGTACCGGCTTGCGCAACCAGTGGCTGGACTGGTTCCCTGCCGGGGAATTGAACCCAGGCTGTGGTGAGAGTGCGGCCTCCTTAGCCACTAGACCACCAGGGAACTAGTAGTTACTGAACATTAAACTGAACACTAAACATTAAATAATTACGATACATTAAAGAACTACAGCGGCATGGTTACATGGTAGGTAGCGTTGCCACCTTACAGCGCCAGGGTCCCCGGTTAGATTCTGAGCTCATTCTTACTGCCTATGCTGAGTTTCTGTGCATGTTCTTCCCAGGACTGCATGGGTTTCCTCTGGGTTCTCCGGTTTCCTCCCACCTCCCAAAACATGCCAGTAGGTAGTTTGGTTAAGATAAATTTTTCCCTAGGTGTGAATGAGTGTGTGAATATGTGTGTGTATATGGCCCTGTGATTGATTGGCGTCCCATCCAGGATATAATCCCGCCTCACACCCAGTGTTCCCGGGATAGGCACCGCATCCACCATGACCCTGATCATGAAGCGGTTACTGAAAGTGAGTGAAAAATGCATTAAGAAGCCCTTAATTTCCACTTAATCTATTTAACATATTACTTGGTCATTAATTCTTTCTATAATAAATAACACATATTTTCTAAGGCATTTTTAAGGTGTGTTTCTGTTTCCATTAATAATTAGGAGGTTATCAAGGGGTTTTATAAATATATAGCTAACCTTCCATGATGTAATTGTGAAAAAAATATTTTCACAAAAAAATTGCAAAATAAAATAATGAATAGGCCCATTCAGTTGACTTTATTATCCCTAAAATGTGAGGATTTAGACATGCTTGAGTCTTTAATAAAGGTCTTCAAGGTGCCATAAAATCACGTGGCACATCCAGCAGACTGAAACCTGGAAAATGCACTGCTCAAGCTTGGGCTTGTCAAAGTTCCACCATGGCCAGAGAAACAACTCAACAAGTGAGCAAAGCAGCTTACTGAAAAATGTGGGAACTTTTAAACTAAACTAGGAATAATCGAAGGAGAAGAACCATAATCAGGATAAACACACTACAAAAACAAGATAAATGCATTTGTAGATCTATGTGAAAATGTGCTAAAATCTCCATGCTTAAGGCTGTAATATCTCATATTTCTCATATTTTAAACCCAAACGTATACAATTATTATACTGACTGTAACTCAGGAAGGTGAGGAGGACAGGGACTTTGCCTTATTTGCACAACGTGACACATATCAGTACCTCACACATATACCAAGACACATCATCAGCACAGAAAGCTGCTGAACCACAGGGGAACTACAGAGGAAGAACTACAGTCGGGTTGTGTTCATTTAACAGGTTGGAAGGATGTAGTATAATTTTTTTTTTAGCATCACTGACATGATTTCTTATTTCAGTTTTTAGCTAAAAAAAAAAGGTTGTTATTGCTACATATCGAGCATCAAATTGGTTTGATGGGAGAAAGGAAGTAAGCTATTATTCCTGCCTAGTAAGAGTATGCCAAACGGAAAGCTTGGTACGTGCGTACACACTCAAAAAAATCTGATTTATAAAGCCAACATAGGACAATGCCTGAAGTTAGGACAAGGTCAGACATCAGAGTTAATATTAAAGGTAGAAGAGCTTCCCACCAGCGGAGCATCAGCAGGACTAGAGGAGTTACCAGGACACTGAATGAACGAATTAGGTTATATGTCATCAGAATTAATCACACACATTTGTACATCAGAGATTATTTGTAAAATGTTTTCTGGTGACATGAAAAAATTTATTCTCTTAGTTGTAATGTGAGTGCAGTCTATTGCTTCAATCTGCGCTTTAATGTTGGTCTGTTCACTGCCGTATTGCAACATGGTGAATTTTACTACTTTGCTGTTGCCAATTAACAAAATCCAGCAATATATACATACACACGTTATAAAGTTTATGCAGCCCAATGAAGTGTCTCACTCAAGTCCATTTTTTTTATTTATAAAGCCAATCCCAACAATAAATTACACATTTACAGCCTCTTGTAAATCTCAAATCTCATAAAAATACTGTACAACAACAACAAAAAAAATGGTTAGTTAAAAACAAGCCACAAAGTACACCAGTTTATTGATACATTTCTTTTTGTTGATGTCAAGCAAACGATTAGACAAGATGTGTTAGGTGTGATTGTGTGAGCAGGGCACAGTGAAGGAAGTGACTTTCTCCTGTACATCAATCAGTTGATCTGAATTTACAAGCCTTATGTATCATTCTTTATATATGAATTACTTCAGCTTGAATCAAACTGTCCACTAATGAAAGTATGTTTCTGCCTGAACAGGGAAACTACCAAAGTGTGTTGCATTGTGGCCTGCTTTCACTTTACACCCTTTCATTTTCTGTCCATTTACTCTCATTCCTACATGGTAGAGGACGCTCATGTACGAATATGAACACGGATGGAGAGAGCTTGGGCCGCCTCTTGCACAGCATCGATGGTGCTTTTCCTGATTTTACAGTGCTTTTGGCATAATATGGAGGACATACTCTGCCAGTGTCTCACACTTTTAGCACCTAAAGTTGGTCGATAAAGGCAGCGTTAATGAATGAATGCATTTGACCACCAAATGGTTGTAATCCAGCTTGGGCTTAACCTTGGTAGTGACGCAAGCCTTTAGATCAGGGGTGTCAAACATACGGCCCACAGGCTTAGACCAGCCCAATGACAGTTCGAAATTTCATTTTAATTTTTAGTGTAAATCAATTGAAAGATTAGAAAAAAGAGTGAGTCTTTTATTCCACTTAAAAACAATGCAATAAACTAAGCCACAAACTTGGCTACTGACAAAATGTGTTAATTTTTTAAAAGCAAGCTAAAAATTTTACACTGCAACCACAAAAGGAACTTTTTTATTTGTAAATTTGCATATCAATTTTCCCCCATGCTATTTTGTGTATATCTGTGCCATAACATGTATATAAACCATAATTTGGACAAAATTATTTTGTAAGTGATACATTCATCCTGTTTGTGAATTCAAAATGTACCTTTCAGATAAATGGCAATAAATAAACACATTTAAGAGGAGGTGCTGATGCATTCTTGGTCTACTAAACTGACTTTTTTTTTTTTTTTTTTTTGGTCTGACCCACTTGACTAACTATAACATGGCCCGTTAGTTAAAATGTGTTTGACACCCCTGCTTTAAATGCTATAGAGGTAGCTGATTGGTTTTTCATACGTGATCCCTGTGTTCCCTGTATAAGATTTTTTTTTTTTTAAACAATGGTAGGACCAAAGAAAAGTGGAATTTAAAACTGCTCACATCATAAGCACATACAGAGGCTGTAACCAATCAATCATCATACATATTTCACAACGTCCAAAAATAAATCAAAGATCCTACAGCCTAAGCTTGACAGAGTTACACATTCAGTACTGCCTGTCATCATTCATTAAAAACACCACAGTTTAGAGACTGGACTTAGAGATCTTCTTTCTGACTTTGTGTGTGCCATTCATTTACAGTATCTACAAGTGCAAAGAAATAAACTGAAGATGCAAATGAAGGGGCAACAAAGAAATCACTTCCGATTAAGGCCTATTGTAGAACAGTCCAGAGTGAGGGGAAGGAAGTAAAGTCATTCTAGCTGTTAGCTGGGAAAGCAAAATTGATTTCCAAATTAAAGACTGCTGTTTTAGCCAATGAAATATTTTTCTCAGAGGTTGCTGAAATATCTGATTTGAGTAACACCTTGTTGAGCTATGACGTATGCATCCTTGGAGCTTGTGCACCAAAGATCTGCCCAATCCATGAAAATGAAATCCTTATTTTCCCAAATTAGAATTTAAGGGAAAAAAAAGTGTAAAAGTGACCACCGTGAATACAGGTTGTAAAACATTTTAAACATGCCCTATTACCTGCTAGTTAACACTCTTAGAGGTTGATGGTGGCTTATTTAACAGTTCCATTCACAACTGCGATATACTTAAGCATTTATGGGGATAGTAGACCAATTTGTAGTCACCAAGATAAATAACACTGATAAATTACAACACAAACAAAGGCCATCACATTAAAAGATGGGCCATAAAAGCAAAAAGTATGCATCTATTTAAAAGTATAGTTTAAATTAATTTAAAAAAAAAAAAAAAAAAAAAAAAAAGTCAAGGCCATTGCTGTCTTAAAAGAATAAACAATGTGCTTACAGAGGCAACAGGATTTTAAAAATAAGGCATAAGTCTGGTCAATGAAAAAGGCAAATTAGGCTACGTTCACATTATAAGCTTCACTGCACAATTCCAATTTTTGCTCAGATCGGATCTGATCCAATTTTGTCTTTAACGTGAACTTCATCGTGTTTTGTTTGAACTGATTCCCCAGTTGCTGACGTCCACTGCTGCAATGCCGCGAGGACAATGATATGCGTGTGCACATTAAAGTCCACTGGAAAAAAGGAACAGGAATTCCAATCTGGCCGTTCTCATTTTATGCCTCATGGCCAATTGTGGGACATGTATCCGATCTCGGACCACATACAGAAGTGGCTCAGGTGTGATTTGAAAAGATCTGATTTTTTGTCCATACAGTCCTGAAAAACACAAAGTCAGATTTGTGTCACTTCAACCTTGTAACGTGAACGTAGCCTTAAACAGTATTCTGGTGATCCAAAACAACTGGTACCACTTTGGGGAGGGAATTATGCATTCTGGTGTTAAAGTGGATGTTTAAGACGTGATCCCAGGACTAAATGTTTGCTGGTTTCGAAATAAGTACACCACTAGAAAGGGTACCCTGAATATCAGCTTCAAACAGTATTAAATATTAATACTTAATTTTGTAACTTTGCAGCAGGGAAACAGCAATTGCTGCAGTGAGATCTGAGGACTCTTTTGTCTCAGTACAAAATGCTGACTTGAATGGCATTTTCAATCCATTTTCAAAGCCTTTGTTCTTTGTCATGACCATTTAACAGGCTTAGTGTTCGCCTGACGAGAGGGGATTACGGCGAAGGAAAAACGAGAGTGTGAGGTGCATCAAAATGTTCTGCTCGCAGTGGCATTCAGGGCTTTATAAATAGTTTCCACACAGTGTACAAGTGTGGGTGCTGGTGTTAACTGACTGTCACCCTGAAGG